ATCTGAATTAGAACCACTGAGCCACCCTGCCCAACCACTGAGCCACCCTGCCCAACCACTGAGCCACCCTGCCCAACCNCTGACAAGATGTCAGGACGCCTGACAAGATGTCAGGACGCCTGACAAGATGTCAGGACGCCTGACAAGATGTCAGGACGCCTGACAAGATGTCAGGACGCCTGACAAGATGTCAGGACGCCTGACAAGATGTCAGGACGCCTGACAAGATGTCAGGACGCCTGACAAGATGTCAGGACGCCTGACAAGATGTCAGGACGCCTGACAAGATGTCAGGACGCCTGACAAGATGTCAGGACGCCTGACAAGATGTCAGGACGCCTGACAAGATGTCAGGACGCCTGACAAGATGTCAGGACGCCTGACAAGATGTCAGGACGCCTGACAAGATGTCAGGACGCCTGACAAGATGTCAGGACGCCTGACAAGATGTCAGGACGCCTGACAAGATGTCAGGACGCCTGACAAGATGTCAGGACGCCTGACAAGATGTCAGGACGCCTGACAAGATGTCAGGACGCCTGACAAGATGTCAGGACGCCTGACAAGATGTCAGGACGCCTGACAAGATGTCAGGACGCCTGACAAGATGTCAGGACGCCTGACAAGATGTCAGGACGCCTGACAAGATGTCAGGATGCCTGACAAGATGTCAGGATGCCTGACAAGATGACAGGACGCCTGACAAGATGTCAGGATGCCTGACAAGATGACAGGATGCCTGACAAGATGACAGGACGCCTGACAAGATGACAGGACGCCTGACAAGATGACAGGACGCCTGACAAGATGACAGGTGTCCTGAAATCGTCTCAAAAATTATTATAAGAAGAATAAATAAATAAATAAAATAAAAATCCAAGTTTTAGTGCTTATTATAATAAAAGATAAACATTACTATAAAATAAGTGATTGTTTACCTTTACCTTTACGCCAAACTAGAACGTTCCAAGCCGTCAGTTGATACCGTTCAAATTTGCAAGTCACGGTTCATTTCGGTTCCAAACAGCGCGTTTGATGTCAAACATAACAATCAGACAAGTCCTGCTGCAACATTGGTGCAAAATAGCTACCCAAACACACGACGTGTAACCTTATACCTTGACAAACATGGTCCGCTTATAATGTATATACATTCAGTATAGACCTCCTATGTATACATTCAATATATACATTCCATGTATACCTTACATCACCGCGTTCACAAACCTCCCCTGTAAGTGACACCTCAGCGGCCGTCGATGAAATGAGTCAGTTAGTTACGAGCCGCCACTCAGCTGGTCACGAGCCGCCACTCAGCTGGTCACGAGCTGCCACTCAGCTGGTCACGAGCCGCCACTCAGCTGGTCACGAGCCGCCACTCAGCTGGTCACGAGCCGCCACTCAGCTGGTCACGAGCCGCCACTCAGCTGGTCACGAGCCGCCACTCAGCTGGTCACGAGCCGCCACTCAGCTGGTCACGAGCCGCCACTCAGCTGGTCACGAGCCGCCACTCAGCTGGTCACGAGCCGCCACTCAGCTGGTCACNGCAGACTCATGCCACCGAGACACGGCAGACTCATGCCACCGAGACACTGCAGACTCATGCCACCGAGACACGGCAGACTCATGCCACCGAGACACTGCAGACTCATGCCACCGAGACACGGCAGACTCATGCCACCGAGACACTGCAGACTCATGCCACCGAGACACGGCAGACTCATGCCACCGAGACACTGCAGACTCATGCCACCGAGACACGGCAGACTCATGCCACCGAGACACTGCAGACTCATGCCACCGAGACACGGCAGACTCATGCCACCGAGACACTGCAGACTCATGCCACCGAGACACGGCAGACTCATGCCACCGAGACACTGCAGACTCATGCCACCGAGACACGGCAGACTCATGCCACCGAGACACTGCAGACTCATGCCACCGAGACACGGCAGACTCATGCCACCGAGACACTGCAGACTCATGCCACCGAGACACGGCAGACTCATGCCACCGAGACACTGCAGACTCATGCCACCGAGACACTGCAGACTCATGCCACCGAGACACTGCAGACTCATGCCACCGAGACACTGCAGACTCATGCCACCGAGACACGGCAGACTCATGCCACCGAGACACTGCAGACTCATGCCACCGAGACACGGCAGACTCATGCCACCGAGACACAGCAGACTCATGCCACCGTCTCATGTTGTTCTGTGAGCGGATGGATAAGGAATTTCGCCAGAATTTGGCCCCGAACTTCAGGGGTGACGACGCTGAACATTTCAGAGCAGGCGCTCAGAACTCACAACTCATTTGTTTGAATTCCTCTGGAAAGGAATTAAAAAAACTCGGAACAAAACTTAACAGTGACGATGAAGCGCGCGTGATGGCAATACAGACAAAAGGGTGTTACAGTGACTGTGAACTTTACAAAGGTGTTTCTGTGAATAATTTTAATGTAGATTATGCAGGGCAGCATGGAGCGATTCATGATCCAGACGTACCAATTTTATATCGAAACATTGGGATTAAAGGTCATAATGCGGGCTCACAACATCGTTTCCAAAGTTTCCAAGCCCGAGTTGAAACTACACGTATTCCGGACTCATCATATTCAATGAATAATCCTGGTCAAGAAGTTCACAATAGCTCCGGTCAGTTTTCCCTAACACACGGTGGTCAGAAGCAGGGTTTCAGACGAGAAAATTTGTATGATCGTTATGCCAAGTATGTAACTGATAAAGCAGACAATTCTTATAATGCTAACAATACTGATAAGGCTTATGAAGCTGACACTGGCTACATATGGAGGCGCAGCACGGCTAAGCTGGCGTCAGCAAATCGTGCTTCATCGCGGCCATCAGTTCGAAATCTTTGTTCGAGCCACACCAACCCTCGTAACAAACCTTATGTTCCAGACTAACCCCCGTAACAATCATCGTGCGAGCCACAACAACCTTCATAACAATTCTTATGTTGCACACCAACAATCCGCATGAGATTGCACTGACCTGTCTTGAAGTATGAGGTAGCTGCAGGATTGGAGACCTGCTGATTCACTGCGAGTGTGAGAACATCGCTGTAGTACATCCGACATTTCTGCACATCGCTCACGTACACCACCGCCTGGCACTCCGGTGCTACCGCGCACTCCAGCTTACATTTGCCTGCATAGTGGTAGCAGTTGTTAGTGGGAAAGGAGTGGTAGGAGTGGTGGAAGTGGTGGCAGTGGTGGCAGTGGTGGAGTGGTAAAAGTGGTGGAGTGGTAGGAGTGGGGGAGTGGTATGAGTGGTGAAGTGGTAAAAGTGGGGTAGTGGTAGGAGTGGGGGAGTGGTACGAGTGGTGGAGTGGTAAAAGTGGGGTATTGGTAGGAGTGGTAGGAGTGGTAGGAGTGGTGGAAGTGGTAGGAGTGGTGGAAGTGGTAGGAGTGGTGGGAGTGGTGAAATGGTAAGAGTGGAGGAGTGGTAGGAGTGGTGGAATGGTATGAGTGATAAAAGTGGTGGAGTGGTAGGAGTGGTGGAGTGGTATATATATGAGTGGTGGAATGGTAGAGTGATGGAGTGGTGGAGTGGTCGGAGTGGTGGAGTGGTAACAGTGGTGGAGTGGTAAGAGTGGTAGGAGTGGAGGGGCTGGAAGGAGTGGTGGAGTGGTAGGAGTGGTGGAGTGGTAGGAGTGGTGGGTAGGAGTGGGGGAGTGGTAGGAGTGGTTGGAGTGGAGGGAGTGGTAGGAGAGGTGGGAGGGGCATATGGGGTCCGAGTGGTATGAGTAATAGGAGTGGTTGGAGTGGAGAAAGTGGTGGTTGTGGTGGGAGTGCTAGGAGTGGTAAGAGTGCGGAGAGTGGTAGGAGTGGTGGGAGTGATAGGAGTGGTTAGATTGATAGGTGTGGGGAAGTGGTAGGAGTTCTAGGAGTGATACTTTAGGTGCATATACATTCCTATTATTTCTTACAGTTTGATTAAAGACAAGAGAATGAGTTCTATTAAAAGTTAATGGCAATTAACAATACACGTTAATCGTGTCATAGCTGCATATACAATATATTCGTAGTTATTGACAGGGAAATTCGAGAAAATTTTTAATTTTGTAACGAAGTTGCAATGAAATGCTCGAGGCTGAAATCTAAGTTGATTGGGTGACTATGTTGACTTTTTATCTATAACCTTCAGAGCTCTAGAGAATATATTCAAACCGCGAGTAATATCAGGTACAAAATATGAGGTATTTGAAATATACGATTATGATATTTCTAATGAAGACAACTAGCATTGATTTCTCATGAACAAATAAACAGTTTCTTGGTTATTTCTTTCCAAATTTCTTTTGTTTAATTAATGTTATTTTTTAACCACCGCCCCACCTTGAAATATTTCATAGAACGACAGCCGCCTGAATAAAATTATTTTCATAATCATAATAACAACCCTTTCATGTTCATGAAAATAACCGATGCATGTAATATGTAAATGTTATTTCATTGCCAGCAGGCACCCGCTATAACTTGCAACGTCTACTCACACTCCGTGACGTCACCCGTTATAACTCACTTGTAACGTTTACTCACACTCAGTTACATACCACCCGTTATAACTCACTTGTAACGTCTACTCACACTCAGTTACATCATCCTCTACAACTCACTTGTAACGTCTACTCACACTCAGTTACATCACCCGTTATAACTCACTTGTAACGTCTACTTACACTCAGTTACATCACCCTTTATAACTCACTTGTAACGTCTACTCACACTCAGTGACGTCACTCAGGACCAGGCTGGGAGTCGTTTTGGTGCCGCGGCCGACGATGGTAGTTTGGTACACGTTGCCTGCCGTCACCTGCATCATTATCGTCATCATCGTTATCATCTTCATCATCATCTTCACCACCTTCATCATCGTACTCTCACGCGTTACCGTTGCCGACATCATCCGCTGAGGTCACTTGACTTACGTTGTCCAAAGCGCGGTAGTTTGGTGGCAAGCGTTACGATGAGTTCAAGGTTGAGTTATGGTATGTTGAGTTATATTATGTTGAGTTATGTTGTGTTGAGCTATATTATATTGAGTTTTATTGTGCTAAATTATGTTATGTTGCGTTCTGTTGTGTTGAGTTATATTATATTGAGTTATGTTATCGCGTTATGTCGAGGAAAAATTTGTCAGTTTCAGCTTCCTGCCGCATGCAAATCGCCTAATCAAATTTGAGAGAATTTCAGAGAGGGTAAGTTCAAAGGTTTTGTAATATGGTAAACAATAAAGCAATATTTTAGTCCCATCAATTAACTCCTCTCATTCTCTGGAACGATATGAAGAACATTTGAAAATGAAAACATAAAGGATATATATCTACTCTAAAATGAAATTCACGAGCATGCATCGCCCTTTTTTTTTCTTTGCACTATCATTTTCTAATCCCCTTGTATATCCATGGAATATAAATTAACAACAAATATCGCTAGTGCGTTTCTGGCCTTATCACTCGAGTGATTAATATCCTGCAAAAAATGTGTTGTAAAGGTAGAAATTTATTTTTTCGTATGTTTACAGTCTTAATAAGCCTAAGATAAGTATAGTGAACAAATAAAGTCTTGCAATAAGTGCACTGCCTTCAGACAGAAGCCTTCCAGCGCGACGGCCTGCAGAGCAGTGCGATCAGCGGGACACTTCCAGCCTCAGCTAACACCTCCACTTCCAGCCAAAGCCACCACCTCCACTCTCAGCCTCAGCCAAAACCTTCACTTCCAGCCTCAGACGCCACCTCCACTTCCAGCCTCAGCTAACACCTTCACTTCCAGCCAAAGCCACCACCTTCACTTCCAGCCTAAGCCACTACCTCAACTTCCATCTTCAGCCAAAACCTCCACTTCCAGCCACAACTTCCACTTAAAGCCACAACCTCCACTTCCATCCACAACCTCCACTTCCATCCACAACTTCCACTTAAAGCCACAACCTCCACTTCCAGCCAAAACCTCCACTTCCATCCACAACCTCCACTTCCAGCCACAACCTCCACTTCCATCCACAACCTCCACTTCAAGCTACAACCTCCACTTCCAGCCAAAACCTCCACTTCCATCCACAACCTCCANGCCAGGCGTACTTGGTGCCCCAGTAGTTGTAGCCTATAGATGTGGACAACAAGAACTTATCAGCCAGGCATACATGGTGCCCCAGTAGTTGAAGCCTTTAGCTGTGGACAACAAGAACCTATCAGCCAGACGAACTTGGTGCCCCAGTAGTTGTTACCTTTAGCATTGGATGACAAGAACCTATCAGCCAGACGAACTTGGTGCCACAGTAGTTGTTAGCCTTTAGCATTGGATGACAAGAACCTATCAGCCAGGCGTACTTGGTGCCCCAGTAGTTATCAGCCAGGCGTACTTGGTGCCCCAGTAGTTGTAGCCTATAGATGTGGACAACAAGAACTTATCAGCCAGGCATACATGGTGCCCCAGTAGTTGAAGCCTTTAGCTGTGGACAACAAGAACCTATCAGCCAGACGAACTTGGTGCCCCAGTAGTTGTTACCTTTAGCATTGGATGACAAGAACCTATCAGCCAGACGAACTTGGTGCCACAGTAGTTGTTAGCCTTTAGCATTGGATGACAAGAACCTATCAGCCAGGCGTACTTGGTGCCCCAGTAGTTATCAGCCAGGCGTACTTGGTGCCCCAGTAGTTGTAGCCTATAGATGTGGACAACAAGAACTTATCAGCCAGGCATACATGGTGCCCCAGTAGTTGAAGCCTTTAGCTGTGGACAACAAGAACCTATCAGCCAGACGATGTCAGCCGCGGTGAAGGCCGTGTCGATGACACGTGTTGAGTCCGGCCACTGGATGAACGAGTCGCCGTTGAGGTCCCGCGCGATGAGCCAGGCATACCTGGTGCCCCAGTAGTTGTAGCCGTTAGCTGTGAACAACAAGAACCTATCAGCAAGGCGTACTCTGTGCCCAGAAATTGATCCCTTTAGCTGTGGACAAGAAGAACCTATCAGCCAGTCGAACTTGGTTCTTCAGTAGTTGAAGCCTTTAGCTGTGGGCAACAAGAACCTATCAGCCAGGCGTACTTGGTACCCTAGTAATTGTAGCCATTAGCTGTGAACAACAAGAACCTATCAGCCAGGCGTACTTGGTAATCCGACACTGACCTGGATTATTTAAGTTACTTCAAGATAAGGAGTTCCACGTTAACATACATTTTATAATAAAATATTTCCGTAAGAACATAATACGACTAATTCAAAGAACTAAGGTGAGGAAATAAATGAAATGCACGAGAGATGAACATTAACCCATTAATGCCGAGAATTATTTTCGGAATTTTTCTTTGTTTTCTTGTGATACTATTACCACTTGTGACGTTAATAAATGAAAAATATGTTAAAATGTTCATTTTTCGACGTATGTGAAAAATTATAGCTTGGTTCCATTAGGAACCGGGCTAAATATTTCACGATCTAAATGACTTTAGAAACATGGTAACACGTAAAACCGCATACAGCATTAAAAGTACTCACTTTATCGATGAAATTCTACATCTGACTCATGAATAATATATTTTTAGAACGAATTACTCACCTTTCTCCGCAGTGCAACACTTGGTTCTTACAATCTTTGAATGTTGACTGAAAAGAGAGTAGTTGGCGTAGCAGCACCAAACTTTGCCAGAACATGTACAAGATGTGTATCAAACCTACCGTATGCATCCACTTCTGTATTTATTTGATCATTCAATTTTAATATGAATCCATTTTTCCCGCTGGTTCCAAATGGAACCACTCGGCATTAATGGGTAAAAGGGTAGACATAACTACCCAAAATATAAATAATATAAACTGAATCAAGTGAAATAATATGAACTGAAGTTATCTGTGAGGAGTTTTCTCATACTCGTCTCGTAAGTTAATTTAAAGTGACAATTTCACACATGATTACAGACACCGAGTATGAACAGACAATTGTTGACAAGGTTGTAAATACACAATGATAGTTATAGGCTGGAAAAAGAAATTAAAATGAGAACAAAGGGCCGAGAGTGTTCCGTGAGGTGCTGGTATACCTTAGCACGATCATGAGGAGGGGCATCTGTGAGGTGGCGACACTGGCACACATGAGGAAGAGCACCACCATGAAGGGCATGAAGGTGTTGCAGGGGATGTAGCACGGGCCAGACGTCGCCACGGGCACCGCTACCACCTCCGCGAACGCCGCGCTTGACGGCTCGAACGCAACGCTGTCGATACCTGCGGGCGTTAGGGGAACGTTAGGTGTTTGTGGGACACTAACAGGCAAAGTTCACCACTCACATGTACAGTTCACCACTCACATGTACAGTTCACCACTCACATGTACAGTTCACCACTCACATGTACAGTTCACCACTCACATGTACAGTTCACCAATCACAAGCACAGTTCACCACTCACAGGCACAGTTCACCACTCACATGTACAGTTCACCACTCACAGGCAAAGTTCACCACTCACATGTACAGTTCACCAATCACAAGCACAGTTCACCACTCACAGGCACAGTTCACCACTCACAACGGATATATATTATTGGATACGTAAAGTCTGATGAGGGATTCAGTGATTCATGCATGGCTTATTTCTTCAATGCCGACACTTCTATTCTATTCTATTCTAGTCAGACGTGCTTTAGGAAAATTGTGTGCTTTCTATTGCGCATCTTAGCGAGCACTCTAGATAATTTGATCCGAACTTTGTTTCTATAATAAAGAGGTTTTTCTAACGTTATATTGTAGACCATTCGTATTTAGGTCACATTCTTTCAGCGGCATTTCTCAAGAAATGCATTTTCCTTGCAGTTGAACGTCCTGACTCTCGCAACTTCCTACATTGCACATCTATCATCCCTGCTCCACGCCTCGCCCGACCAAAACATGCCCGACTTGCCAGACTCTACAATGACCGACACCAGCGATCACGACGCAGGCTCTGCAGGAGATAATTCCAGCTCTGCCAATCCTGCAGGAATAAGGAGGAATGAATGGATCCTCCACCCCCAAGGGGACGTCCTGGACTGTGTTGCTCAAGACGGGGACCGCAGTGACACTCGGAAGGGACCGATGCTTACTGGCGNGAGACGTCCTGGACTGTGTTGCTCAAGACGGGGACTGCAGTGACACTCGGAAGGGACCGATGCTTACTGGCGTCTCTAATGGGAACGATGAAGGATGTTGCCCTGATTTTAACGGCTTATGGCGAAATAGAAGAAATAGAGAATGGTATTTTCAGAGCAAAAGGCAGGTTTGTTCGCCATCCTCTAACCTTCTCGAGGTGAAGACTGTAGAGCGACCGGGACGACTTGGTCAGAGGTTCGCTGGGCATGTGGCTGACCGAGCAAGCGACGTCGGTTATCTTAAGCCGACGAGTGCAAGTTACAAGGGCCTAGATTGTATTTCACGAGATAAATCAAATTTTAGGCAAATGGATTTTCCACGAGAAATTGTAACAGAAAGAGCAGAAACGTCTGATGATTTCTACAAACAAACAAGTTTTGAGCATCAAAAAGAAAGTTTTCAAACTGCCCAACAAACTGACTACGCTGGAGGATGCCAGAACACAGTAGGATTCGGTCGGACTCTCGGACCTCTACTGCCGCCGCTCGCTCTGCATCAAAACTCGTCACGTGAAAGCCACAATTCCGACGACCAACGGGCATTACGATGCAGAATTCCGATTCAGGATTCTACTCACAAACGTACTTATCTTGGTCACGAATGTTCAACTATGCCGAAAACGACAATAATTAATGAAAAGTTGCTTCCGAGCCAAGGGTTTGAGCAAAACTATGATTTCTCAATGAATGATGAACAGAACAGCCGGAACAATGCCATGGAATTTCAGCAAAGTATCAACACTCTGGAAACTGTCGGCGTGGAAAAGCGTGGGCAGCAAACAAAGCGCCCACTAATTCACATGGGCGAAGCTGCCCCATTCTTAACATCTCACCCACGACCCAACAACATCTCGGGAGAAGCTGCCCCATTCTTAACATCTCATCCAAGACCCAATAACATCGTGCGCGAAGCTGCCCCATTCTTAACAACATCTCACCCACGACCCAACAACATCTCGGGAGAAAATGTCCAAATCTTAACATCTCACTCAAGACCCAACATTTCACCCAAAAGCAGCCGGGCGGCGCTTGCTTCCAACTTCAAGAAGGTAATGACAAGCAATTTCTTAGCAATAAATCGCGCTAAGAAGTTAAAATTGCCCCCAAATTTGGTGAAATTGCATGTACTGTATTTTATTCAATGATGCAGCAATTTAAGGCAAAATAGGACTAAATATTGATCGCTGAAACCATTCTGCAAGTGTAGCACGCATCTATCTTCTTAATAATTAATCATTCTTGCATTAACGAGGAAGCAAGAATATATTTATGTATGAAAATATAATTATCTTCTATAAACTTAGTAGCCATTCTGTTCCAGAGATGGCCGATGCAGGACGAGCTCCTGGTAGCCGTTGGTGGTTGCCCGCAGGACGCCTAATTTAATATAAAAATCTAAAGTAATCATGAAAAATTCATCATAAGAAGTCATTGGTTAACCAGAGGAAGATAACGGTATGTATACGGTCCAAAACCCGGTATATACTAGGTGTAATTTGGGAACACGGATAACATGCCATTATCTTTATAACCACCTTATAGTCTCTACCATCATACTTTCGACCACCGTATAACCTCTACCATCATACTTACGACCACCGTATAACCTCTACCATCATACTTTCGACCACCGTATAACCTCTACCATCATACTTACGACCACCGTTTAACCTCTATATAACACTCATTATCGTTCTACTAAAGACTATCGCATGTTTCTCGATCGCCTTTGAAGTTAGAATATTTGCAGAAGTTGACGAGAATAAAGGAAAGAAGAACAAATAAGAGATATTCTTTACTGAGTACAGCGAGGGACCGTTGGGCAACAGCAACACAAGCGTCGTGGTACAAACTTCGCTGCACGTGTGGCTAGCATGTGGCATGCTTGATTTACGAATTACTTCGCTCATGTTATTACATATTGTATTATTGCATAAACCCTCATTTTCCTTCTTTAATCACGTTATTAATCTAGAAATATTCTTTCCGTAACAATTTTTGTGATGAGGATTCTTTTTAAACAACTAAAGGCTTAAACTGAATTTCACATGGAAACATTCGCCGACATAATGTGAGAAAGCTATACAACGTACGATGTTATTTACTCAAAAAACTCTAGTATATAGGTACAGGAAATCATTCATTAGACGTTACAGACTACGTTTAATATCTTCCCTGCGGAATTATGGCCTGCGGAACGGAGTTGATTAAAACAAATGTCATGAAGAAAAATTAAATTAGCAACTTTTTCTTAGTTCTTGCACGAATGTTGTATGCAAAACAGAATATATTTAAGACTCCTAATTTCGGATATTAGTGATCGTTTTAGTAGCAAATGTTGTCCAAATTGAATTAACTTTGAGTTTATGAAGCAACTTGAAAAATAGAAGTAAACATGCGGAACAAATAACGCCACTGCCGTGAAAACTAAAACCTAGAAGAATTTAAATGGCGCGGTAGGCATAGAAAACAATTTAAAGAAAATATGAACTCCAGTAAAATGATCTTTGTCACAAAATGTGAAAACAATCAAAACGCCATCGATTTACATCAATCAAAAGCAAATGAAGGCTTTAACCTTCTACCGCCTGACATGAGTAACCGGAGCAATATTGTCACGCGCCTACTCCACAAAAAAGATACGTTCTAGTGAGCGCAAAATGACTTGTACTGATGGTTGCCGCCACGTACAACTTTAAAATGTTCTCTGTTGCGTACAAACGTCCTCAGGTTGCTAGACTCAATAGTTTACATATAATTTAAGTTGAATACACTCAATAGTTTACGTATTATTTAAGTTGAAAGTTATGTTCCCAGAGAGTGACATACGGCGGTAGAGGCTTTAATATACTCAGTAAAATAGAATATACTTGTACGTGTACGCTACACTTTGCTATACAGTTAATAGGAAGGCCCAAATCCTTGTATTAAATATCTAATAATTATCTTCTAGCATAATATAGATTTATTACTTATGAATTTTATGACTGAATATACACGAATATTGTCTCTCGGTTTCATTCTCCAACTTTATCCGTACACGAATTTATAAGTGATTGCAATCGTTCCTATTCGTTATCATACGAATATTGCCTCGCATAAATATCCAGCTACCTTAGTACGTGAATTTAATAAATTTAGGGGGCCACAGCTCCCCTGAGCTAAGACCCTTTGGGGGCCACAGCTCCCCTGAGATAAGACCCTTTGGGGGCCACAGCTCCCCTGAGATAGGACTCTTTGGGGGCCACAGCTCCTCTGAGATAAGACCTTTTGGAGGCCACAGCTACCCTGAGATAAGACCCTTCGGGGGCCACAGCTCCCCTGAGATAAGACCCTTTGAGGGCCACAGCTCCCCTGAGATAAGACCCTTTGGGGGCCACAGCCCCCCTGAGACAAGACTCTTTGGGGGCCACAACTCCCCTGCAGCTAAGACCCTTTGGGGACCACAGCTCCCCTGCAGCTAAGATCCTTTGAGGCACAATGTACATAACATAGGTCAGCACAAAGTTTATGTCACCCTCATTTGGAATAACCCTCCGTCCCACAACAAGGACAAATTACAACAGTCAAGTGGTTATTTCAAGATCAATCATCACAAATCTACTTGATCAAGGAATCATTTTATTGCGGAACTGCGGTAGAGGGGCGGAGTGTGTGGGGTACAACGATGGGGAGGTAGGAGGGTTGTCGCACAGCGGAGAAGGGGAGGGAGGCACAAATAAGTGAAGTTGTGAAGAAAGCAGAAGCGTGTTTAGTGGATATTTTTGTTGGTTATTGTTAAGCCAGGCTTCCTATACCAAATGATAACTTGCACCATTAATGCCTCAGCTTTTTAGCTATCAACTTGGCAGCAACGAGCGCTCCCACCGCACCGTGGCTGTCCTCTAATAAGCTCTTCACTATCAAGACTTTGACTAAACTATCATTTCTGAACAATAAACTAAACACAAGAAAACGCGTAAAATCGGTTAACTTTCCCTTTTCTGGGAACCTAATAACATTCTATTATATTAAACATGCAGGAGCAACTAAAGCGACTATCCATCAGAAGCATTAATCTCAGTCAATTTTCAGAGGGATAATTGAAACTGTCAAGATCCAAGTCACTAAGAACTACAGGTCCCTATCATATCATACCTAGTCACTATAATAGGTAAGTGCAGAGATTTGTTAAGAAAGGTCCTCGCGAAGAATTATATTCAAGAACCGAGCGTATTCTCTGGCAACTGGAAGCGATTTATTAGGACACACATTATTCTGGTAGGTTCTCATACGTAACGTCTTTACGACAACACATACAACAAGAGTGTCGTAACTCTAGTGAACAAATACTTCACGATTCATGACGCAGTTACGACGTATTCTCGGCACATTGTGACGCAGTTTTCAGGTAGGAATACCATTATGAACAGCGGGCAAAGTTTAATGGGAGGCTAGTAGCCTAAGACTTCGAGTCGAGTGAAGGCAAATGGTCAAAGGCTAATAGCAACTGAAGGATCTGGTCAAGGCTTGGAGACAGGGAATATGAACGGGTTAGGTTTATATGGCCCCTATCTTATTCCCATGATTGGGGCCAGGAAATATTAAAGAATGGAGCAATAAAAGGAAGTAGTTAGGTAGTCGAGTTGCCCAGACTGGCGCTCTATGTTACGGTCCATAAATTAAGCATCACATAAATATTGATCACGAAGCAATACACACAATAGCAATACAATAAATATCAATAGCATTAGGACCAGTCGACGATAGTAAGGAAGAGAAACCAAGGATTCACACGAACAAAATCATAACGACTAAAGAAAACCACTAATGAAGACAAAACACAACGTGAAGAAAAGAAGTGATACCAATGTAGTAATAAGTGGCACATATGAAAAACAATAAAGTGGAAGACAATAACAATAGTAAGGAAGGAATTACGAAGTCAATAATGCAGGTCGTGTTGATGAACATACATCCACACGACCGAGCCTCGTGATGGTAGAAACAAACACTTTCATCCATACAAATAATAAACCAATTTCTCACTTGCGGAAATAACCTTAAATTAGGCCCAGTACAAACAAGAATTTTAAAATCAGAGACAGTAACCGCTTCACAAAATGCATGACATAAATAGTTAATAAGACTTAGATATTTTAGTCGAGGTAATTAATATTGCAGAGTTGGAACATTGCACGGCATGTAATCAAATATTGCAGATCTAAAACATTGCACCAAGGTGTAATGACATCGCGAGACTCGGCTACGAGATTGCGTCTCGCTCTAACTATTCTGCAGCGCTTTTGCTACACATTAAAATATACTGAGATATCTCCCTTGGTGAGTATAGAAGATAAATCAACACAATATTACTCTAAACGCATTTAGAAGCTCGTTAACGTGAAGCATTCAGCTTAAAAAGTGAAGTGAAGCAAGAAAGAGCCGCCTCACTAGCACAAGTCATTAATTATCAATAAATATAATGGGACGTCTAGAGCTACCACTCAGAGAACTAAGAAGAACAATCTTTCAATATCAATGGAATAACACCAGGAGGTTCCCAGTATCTGAGACAGCGAGCAATGCACAATCAACAACGGCCGCTGTCACAACACAGCTCCGTTCAACTTACGGAATTATTCTAATATTATTGAAGAGGGAGTTTAACTCCGTACAGATTACAGCAACAAAACAAATACTTAACCACGTTCAAATATGTCACGAGATTCAGAAAACCTGAACATGGACATACGCCCTTGGAGATGCGAGCAATAGAGCTAAACCCTCAGAAAACCCTCACGCTAAACCCTGGTTTGCAGGTCACCAATCAGTTGCTGGTCACCAATCAGTTGCTGGTCACCAATCAGTTGCTGGTCACCAATCAGTGGCTGGTCAAATTGAAGTTAAAATCCAATATTAAAGTGTGGCTCTTGGGGGTCTTAACTCTTCTCCTCATGGGTTCATGCCCAGCAAGTGACCCTTGCTAACTTCGATCGCGTGCCCCTACATTGCCGCCTTCACGAGCAGGGTCAAGATGCCTCTCTTGGTCCATAAACCCCAGAGCGACGGCAGGGTTCAAACTGACGGCCGCATCTACGGGAACAGGATGGACAAGACCCTGCGCTGGAATGGGACCATGCGCAGGAATAGGACCATGCGCAGGAATAGGACCCTGCACAGGAATAGGACATGGCGCAGGAATAGGACCATGCGCAGGAATAGGACATGGCGCAGGAATAGGACATGGCGCAGGAATAGGACATGGCGCAGGAATAGGACCCTGCGTAGGAATAGGACCCTGCGCAGGACGTGCAGGCGCCGCACAGTCGCGCTGCGGCAACAAAGCTTCCAGCTGCGAAGGATCGTCGGTCGCAGCGCCGAGGCGAGATCCGTCGTAGGAAGGATCGCGGAAAGTGACCTGCACATAACAACCTTCATGAAAATCTTGAACATAAACAGATTGAATTGTATACTTAAATATTGCCAGGGTAACTCGCATTTTATTTTGTGAGATGTTGTCAAGTAACTTGCAAGAATTCAACATGTAACTCGCATGCAAGAGTTCCTAAACACAAGGGATCCGTTGGGAAACACGCCCGATACCCTCTTACTTACACGACATCTTTGCAAGTTCAAATTGCACAAGAATTTCAACTCAGTGGTCTGTGGATAAGACGAAATCTATTTTGGACGCACAGTACGGAACTTTGCAGTGCAGTGACAATAGGCCACGGAATTTGGATCACAATCTGGAAACTTTGGGAACACGTAAAGAGGCCCCAACACCCGTGAGAGGCATCACCGTCCGTGTAGGGTACCTGGTATTGAGCGCTGGGGCGACGGGCGTGCCCAGGCATGGCCAGGATGCCCTGGTGGGGATGCCCGCTGGAGGAGTGGGCACGTCGGTGCCCAGCCCCACCGCTGCCCACCAACGGGCGGGCCGTTGCAAGACACCCAGACTGGCTGCGCGCATGGCCCTGGGGGAGGGAGAAGATCAGCCTGATATGTGGTGGGGCATGAGGTGGGGGCATGAGGTGGGGGCATGAGGTGGGGGCATGAGGCTGTCTCTTATACACATCTAGATGTGTATAAGAGACAGATGTTACGGTCCATAAATTAAGCATCACATAAATATTGATCACGGAGCAATACACACAATAGCAATACAATAAATATCAATAGTATTAAGACCAGTCGACGATAGTGAGGCAGAGAAACCAAGGATTCACACGAACAAAATCATAACGACTAAAGAAAACCACTAATGAAGACAAAACACAACGTGAAGAAAAGAAGTGATACCAATGT